TATATACATATGTATTCAGATATCTGGTAATACAACCTATGTTAAAGTTATTAGTCATTTGAATAAGTTTTTTTTTGTTACCTTTTTTAGGCAGCATTTAGATTAAGGATGGCAAAAAGGTATTATTGCTATTCTGACAAGATTGATACTGATTTATGGATGAGTTTATTGAAACAATTCTAAGACCACTCTGAAGTCAATGGTTAAAATGTCATGATGGATAACTGAGGTCTGGAAGAAAAATGGAAGTTGTTTCTTGAGTTATCAAACTAAGAATGAAGATTACTATATTATTCATGAACTCCCCCTTCACTCTGTTATACTTGCAAATAACCCCTTACAATTTAATACTTAAGTACATGATGTCATATTTTAGACTACAGTTATGTATTAAGTGTTGATGTTCTCTTGCTAACTAGATTATAAAGTCCTAGATTACAGGGACTTGATATTATGACTCTTATATTTCCTAAAGTCCGTAGGAAAGTGAAAGGCACAGAGTAACCTTAATATTGAATTTTTATAATGTATCTGTAGAAACTATCAAATTTTATTGCACCTGTGAATACATTTTATCTTCGTCATTTTAAAAAGGAGGGAATATTTTTGGGGGATAATTTACGTCAAAATATGGGAGAAGAAAAATAAAATAGCACAAAAGGATTCAATGAAAAATTTCTCTGTCTCCTACTCCAGGTTTCCAGTACCTCAAGTCTTCCTAACTAGAGGGATTAATTTTTAACTATTTTCTGTGTAGCCCTCCAGAAAGAATTTATATATCAACGAGCCTAGCCATGTATTTATAATGCTATCTGAGTGAAAATGTAGTCATGAATACTGGTAAACAGACAAATCTCTTTTAACATATAAGAAAGCCTACCATACATTCAACTTTATGGCTTTTCTTATTTAGATTTTTTAGAGATGGTTTTATATTAATTTATGCGGAATCATCTCATTCTTTTTCACTCAAGCATATAATTTCAATGTATGGATGCGTTGTAATTGATGTTACCACTCTTGAAAATTATAATTTAAGTTGTTACTGTTCTTTTACTAATATATACAAAGCAGCAACACATACCTTATATATGCATCTTTATGAATTTGGGCAAATATATTAATTTAAAAATAAAAAATATATAATTACTGTGGTTAAGAGTTGATGCATTTTTCTTTGCTAGATTTCATAATAATGCCTACAGAGGGATTACCCAATTTTCAGTTGCCTCAAAATTTGGCTATTATTTAAACCCTTCTAAAATCTGTTTGGGTTTTTTTTTGTTTTTGTTTTGTTTTTTGGTTATTTTTTGTTTTTGTTTTTTGTTTTTTGTCTAACATTTTAGGTCTTAATCAATCTGAAAGAGAAAAAATGGTATCAAATTCCTGTTTTATTTTATTTTTAATTGAAAGATATTTTGAAAATCTTATATTTGTAAGCCATTATTAATTTACTAGAGGCCCGGTGTACAAAATTCATGCACGGGGGGGGGGTGTCCTGCAGCCCGGCCTGTACCCTCTCCAATCTGGGACCCCTCGGGGGGATGTCCGCCGCCTGGTTTAGGCCCAATCCTTGTGAAATTGGGCCTAAACCGGCAGTTGGACATCCCTCTCACCATCCAGGACTGCTGGTTCCTAACCGCTCGCCTGCCTGCCTGCCTGATTGCTCCTAACTGCCTCTGCCTCCCTGCCTGATCACCCCTAACCACCTCTGCCTGCTGGCCTGATTGCCCCCTAACCACTGCCCTGCCGGCCTGATTGCCACCTAACTGCTCCCCTGCCAGCTTGATCGCACTCAACTGCCCTCCCCTGCCAGCCTGATCGCCCCCAACTGCTGATCTCACCCCTAACTGCTTGCTCCCTGGCCAGCCTGATCACCCCTAACCTCCTCTACCTCGGCCCCTGCCACTGTGGCTTTGTCTGGAAGGAAGTCAGATGTCCAGAAGATGTCCAGTAGACCTGGTCTAATTAGCATAGTACCCTTTTATTAGTATATAGATTGTGACTCTTGCACTTGTATTCGAGTTATTGATCTTTAGCTTATTGATTTGTAAGAGCCCATTTATTTTAAAGAAATATGCCCTTTTGTTAAATATAGTATTTTTTCTGATATTCAGATTATCTATATACAGATTTTATTGTTGTAATGTGGAATAAAAAATATTAATAAAATCAAGTTTATCATTTGTCTTTTATGTTTTCTGGGATTGTGTAATAACCATTTAAAGTTATTGTTTTAGTGTCTATTTTATTCTAGAATATTTTTGTGTTTATCATCGTTAATTTAAAATGCCTCTTTAATCTATCTTGAATTTATATTGGTGTAAGAATCAAGTAAAGACTCAGCTCTACCTTTTTTCCTCCAGATGGCTAATCTATGATTCTAATGTCATTAACTTTGTAATTAATTTTGCTATTATTTTGAATTGTAATTTTATATATTAAAACCATATACATAAACTAGAGACCCGGTGCACAAATTCATGCACCAGTGAGGTTCCTCGGACTGGCCTGTGGGGTGGGGCCAAAACCAGCTCTGCAATATCCCCCAAGGGGTCCCAGATTGCGAGAGGGTGCAGGCCAGGCTGAGGGACCCCACCAGTGCATGATTGGGGCCAGGGAGGGACGCGGGAGGTTGGCCAGTCAGGAAGGGACCATGGGAGGGCTCCAGGGAGTGTTTGGCCCATCTCACTCAGTTCCGATCAGCCAGACCCCAGCAGCAAGCTAACCTACTGGTTGGAGCATCTTCCCCCTGGGTCAGTGTACGTCATAGTGACTGGTCTACTGTCTGCCACCTGGTGGTTAGTGCACGTCATAGTGAGCGGTTGAGTGCCCTTAGCATATCATTAGCATATTATGCTTTGATTGGTTGAATGGCCGACTGGATGACTGTACACTTAGCATATTAGACTTTTATATAGGATGAGGATTTTTGTGTCTCTATGCTGTTTATTGCTATGTTTATTGATACTCTGTTATGAAATATTTTAACTACTGCTTCTTCAAAACACTGCTAAATATTTCCAATATCCAGTTCCTATTCATAAATATTTTGTATTTTTTTGACTTAAAGATATTTTTAGTTTCATTTTCTTAAGTTTATGATAACCTGATAGGATTGTAATAATATTGTTACTATTGTGTTTGGAATCATATTAACTTTGGGAAAATAATATTTTTACAGTGATAAGTCTTGTTCTTTCAGACCAAACTATATCTTTATGCAATACTTCTTTTGTTGTTTTTTTTGTAGGCGTTTAAATTTTCTTTATGCAAATTCTACAGTATTTTGGGTAGTTATACTTTGTTTTATAGTAGATTTTTTAATTGTTTGTTTCTTCTACTATATTCATTTTGTATATATGAAATTTATTATTTTTTGTATAAATTTTGAAACTACCTACCTATTTTTGGAATCCTTAGTTTCTTATAGTCCTTATTTAACTTTTATTGATTTTATACATACATGATAATATTACCTACAGGTAGTGATACTCTTTTCTAATTGTACACCTCATTTTTTTTCCTAATTGCTCCATTAGACCATATTTCCAGAATGATATAAAATAATAATATTACTCATTTTATTTATAATGTGGATGCAAGAGCATATGCTATTTCTCCATTTATATCACATTTATTATTTGTGAAGTATCCATCTTAAGAGTATTTAGATTAATAATGTTGAATATTATCAAATGAATTTATATTAATTATGGGACTGATCATTTCTGTTTTCTTCTTAATTGACTTATAATAGTATGAAACATTATTAATATATTTATATAAATGAAATATCTTTTCATCAGTATTTTACTTAAAATTTAGCAGCCTGTAAGATTTAAGAAGACATTTATAGAGGATGACTCTTGGACATATACATTCTAATATATTTCATTTTTTTTTTGTTTGCCCCAGTCATTTTATGAGATATTGATATGTATTTAGTCACTAACTACTATTTATCTTATGGTACATTATTTTATTCACATAACACCTTAACTGTGGATAATCCAGAAAAATAATACTTTAGATGAAAAATGCAAACGAGGAATAATTTGCAGTGAAAAAAAGATTTACCTAGACAATGACCATTGTTTTCTATGCACTTCACATTGTTACTTTGAAACATGCTGGCTAAATAGTAATCACTTTTTTTTCTCCAAGTCAATAAATACCCATTTCCATAAATCTGGTCTGTATTATACCTTAACTATGAATATATTTAATAACACTGTATATCTACACTAATAAAAGAAAAACATGCAAATTGGTGTCACTCCACTACGCCCACCAGCCAATCAGAATGACTATGCAAATTAACCCAACAAAGATGGCGGTTAATTTGCATATGCAGGCACGGAGCGAAAACTGAAGACTGAAGAGGACTGAAGACTGAAGAAGTTTGGCTTCTCTGCTGTGGCTGGAGCAAAGGCGTGGGTCCCGGGTGCCGGAGGAAAACCAGTGCCGGCAGCCAGGAGAAAGAAGGCCTATCGCATGAATCTCTTCGTGCAACGGGCCTCTAGTTCTTTTATGAAAGGACATGTACATAAGTCTGGGTGTGAGAAGTTTAGATGTTGAGGTTATAAATGTCAATAGAAGGACATTTCTCTTGCAAAAATAAAGTATTTACTTAAATTTAGAATTCCAAAAGATACTGATAGCATTTACCTAAATTTAAAGTTTGGAGAAGTACGTATATACAAATATACCTTTAAAGACTGTAATTAAACTTTCAGTTCATCACAGGATTATTTAAATAAGGTAGACCAGTAACTTGAAATTAAATAAAATATCAAGGATTTAACACTAAGAGCCACTTTAATAACCAGGACAAGAACCATTGAAATGTCATGCAAATAAACTGTGATGCTGTCAGCAAATAGATTTGTTGCTAATGGCAAGTAGTTCTGGCTATGACAGAAGACAGTGATGACCACTCATTATTACGGTGATTTAATTACAAAAAAATAAATGCATGCTCTTTCTATTTTCTTAAGGGAGATGCATCAACAAAGCATGGGTATGTGATGGAGATATTGATTGTGAAGATCAGTCCGATGAAGACGACTGTGACAGTTTCTTGTGTGGACCACCCAAGTACCCTTGTGCTAACGACACTTCAGTCTGCCTGCAGCCGGAGAAGCTCTGCAATGGGAGAAGGGATTGCCTGGACGGGTCTGATGAAGGCGATCTCTGTGGTATTGCACTTTTCACTGCATTTGCTCCTCTCTGAACGCTAGAGCCTTTTAGTTCACTTGCTGATACTGATTATAGTAACAGTCACTCTTTCTTTTCATTCAATTTAAATGAGACATTTAGCACTGAACCCTATCTACCTTTTTTACAACCATGTTAAGTCTATAAAAATTTTAAAAATATGATTAGACATTTCTGAAAATAAAGCAAAAGAGTGTAGCCTATATTCAACTCACTTAACAGTTGTATAGCTTTGCTCATCATTTAGATCTCTGCATGGTCAATGCTGCTGCCACAATGGAACTGATATTATTTTTTTTCAGCGAGTCACTCAGAACAGGAGAATCTTATTATTAGTGATCAATGGAATGGGGTTTACTGCCACCCAATGGATTTTGTAATGCCTTCTAGTCATGAAAATAGAAACATATTTAGAAAGAAGAAAGGAAGGGTCTGGATTATAAGACCAACTGAATATTACTGATTTTATATATATACTAGAGGCCCGGTGCACAAAAATTTGTGCACTTGGGGGGGGAGGGGGGTCCCTCAGCCAGGCCTGTGCCCTCTCGCAGTCTGGGAACCCTCAGGAGATAACGACCTGCTGGCTTAGGCCTGCTCCCGGGTGGCAGAGGGCAGGCCCAATCCCTAGGTGCAGCCCCTGGTCGGGCTCAGAGCAGGGCCTATTGAGGAGTTGGGGCGCCGCCCCCTGTCATGCACAGAGCAGGGCGGATCGGGAGGTTGCGATGCCACCCTCAGTCACGCTCAGGGTAGGGC